GCAGAACTTCTTGCAGGTCCTCGATACACTGCTCCAGAACCATTCTTTAAGTCAATTGCTGAGAAGAAATAGCAAAGATCAGTTTAGTTCAAAATGAAGATAAAATTTTCAGTCTCAAGAACACTACTCTCCTCCTCCATTATTATAAAGCATCCAGTATAAATACAAATCTTGAGCTAACAGCCACTAGGAAAACGAAAGGGCTTTAATTCCTCTTCTTTGATGAAATAAAATCATTTGGATTACCATTGGGAAAAAAATTGGTCCTATACTGAGGGGGAGGGCGTTTACAGCAAGGAGTCCCATTGGAAAATTCTTGCTTAGATGCCAAAAAACATTTGCAAGAAACACTTGAGATTCTCAAGATACCAATTACTGCAATTCCTGAAAAAATGTGGAAGTTTATTTTAAGCCAGCATTCAGAGAAGGCAAACGTGGTGGTGTTTAAACATGCTGATGCATTTTCCCTGTGCTGCCCCACAGGCAATGGAGCCTCTTCTGCACCACGCAAAGAGCATCTCAACTCTTGCCAAATATCTGTCTTCCTCTTCTAGAAAGCCCAACATTCCTCAAAGTGTCTGGAGCTTCACAGTGTGCTGTTGCACACCAGATCACCTGCCAAAATCATCTATTACGAGGCTCACACTGCCAGCTATTGTGTCCTTTGTTTACAAAAATGTTAGGAGAACATTTTGACAGGTCGTGCTCTGCCAAATTGTTTTCAGGTTTCGCAGTCTTTCCCAGTCTCTCTCTTCACACCTTTTTGGCTTGGTCACCTCCTGATTCTTAAGCACAAAATAGGGTCACTACTCAAGCGAGTGGTCCGGTAAGGACACGGCACCTCTGACCACAGAACCGTGGCGGGTTAGCCAATAGGAATTCTGGCAGTCTGTTTCTCTTGATGGACAAATTTTAATCCATTGGCCTAACTACGGAGAATCATTTCTGCATAAACTATCTCATGTGTATTTTTTTTCCAAATAGTTTTTCTGAAAGGATAAGGTGGCCTGTAAAGGCTGGTATAGCTTTTGTCTTTTGAAGTCTTTCATTTTCTGAAATCTGTTCTAAGTAATACTTACCCAGTTAGAACAAAACTAGAAAGGGAATTAAGTGCACAGAGATGCTCAGTAAGAAGTGGCATATTGGATGACTTTTACAATCCACATTATTTTAAGGTAAATCATAATTTCAGGAACAGGTTTTATGGACATGAACACTGCCCACTGTGTAGACAGGCCTCCCGACTCCACAGCAAGCAGTCAGTGCCTCCAAGTTAATGTGGAGGGTGGGGGGTACCTGCTGGTGATCTCCTAATCAGCTCCCACCCAAGGCTGGCCAGACCCTGGGTGAAAACCAATCTGGGGGGTCTTTCTTGCCTGCTTGTGGACACCATACATATGTCAGCCCTCATTCAGGGCTGGTGTTTAACCCCAGCACTTCACAGGACCACAATGACACTTGGCACAGAAAAGACCAATAGGAAATTAATTCTCCATTCAGAAAAGCTCTGAACATCATGGTATGTGTAAGGCATAGGCTACCACAGCAAATAATTATAACGACACCCAGATTTGCATTTCTCCAAAAAAAAATCAAAAGCCTGGAATTTGAAAGCTGATTATGGTTTATCCCTTTGGATAAACTTACATTCTAATAATAGACCATTTAGGACAACTCAGCACTGAATAATACCAGAGACAATGAAATATATCAAATTACTAAAATTAGGCTGCTTTTTTTTCAAAACCGCATGTCCTCTAGAAACTGAGCACAAGGGAATTTAAGAAGTGAGCTTGTTTGAGGAAGTAGTTTTGCCCCCATGAGACCATTTCACACACTTGTAAAAGTCACTTTAACAGGAAACACTTCTCCTGTGACTCACTGTCATCACATGCTTTAGCCTCTCTTCAACCCAGTTACAAGCTTAAATGACGGGTAAGACTCATACCTTCATTAGACCGTGATCTCAGGAAGTTTGAATGGAAACAAACTGGGCTATATATTCACTGAAGTGACAAGGACAATGCAGTAGAAACAAGAATGTTACTTGGTTTGGATTTGTTAGCATGCCATCACCAGCAGACTAATTACTGTAACACAGAGCCTCCTGGTCGGTTAATTGGCTTGCTTTCTAAGTGCAGTGGTGATGCACTGTGGAAACTGCACACAGAAATGCATGGAAGTCCTAGAGGATGGTCTACCTATGCCTACATATGAATAGGCAAGTTACAGAACTATATTCCTAGAAAGGTCAGTAACTGCCATTATTGAACTCTACCTGACCTCCTTGTCATTTCTGCTTTCAGTCTGCATCCAGATTTTTAGGACCCAGTGAATATTCACCTTCTGCTTATTTTCAAGAGACCAGTTTAATTAGAATTGGTGTAATTTATCTCACTTCATTAAAAAAAAAAAAAAGATGTATCAGGGGGTTATATAAAAACTACAACTTACTCCACTGCATTGCTGTTTTTCCATCTTTAGTGATGTCCCACTGGAATACAGCATTTACTTTCTTTACCAATTCTTTTCCGATCTCTTTTAGTCGACGACCAATTTCTTCAAATACAAGGTCACTCTGCAGCCCTGCAGTCTTAAAAAAAGAGAGTATAAAGAATTTAAGACTGAAACTCAGTTAAGAAAGTATTAAATACGCCTATTAGTTCAAGCACTGTGTCCAGGAAAGTCTCTACTATAGAATCATTCAATGCAATTAAGATTTCTTCCACCACAAATAATCACCTTCAGCAACTGTTGCCACCACAGAGTACATTCAAGCAGAAAATGCTTCATGGGTTCTTCCTTAAGAATTATTTCAAAACTTGCTTTTGCACTTCTTGTCATTTATCACTACAGTTTAAGACATGTTTTATGATTACGGCTCTAAGGGCTTCTTAACTGTCCTTTATTCCCTTTGGAGAATAACCACTGCCACCTTCTCCAAGCTGAATAGCATGTTAAATTTTCAGAACACAAAAGTGTTTTTATCACTACATCAACTTGACGTGGAACATGTTTAAAACATACTGCACTACAAACACAGTCAGAACTCCAGTGCAAATACAATGTGTTTATCATTTAAAAGTGGGATTAGCTACATTTACATTTTCAACTTCTCCAAACGTGTTATTCTGCAAGCCTTTGTCTTTCTTTAATGAATACTTGTACTGCATAAAATGCTACAGTTTAAGAAGCTGTTCCAGTGACACTTTTCAGCTAACTGGAACTGCAGCGAAGAAGGTGTCACAGCTCTTATTATTCTGCTGTACCTACCTATATAACAGAATGCAGTACTCCTCATGCTGCTATCCTGTCACCTCTTTGGTTAAGCCTAACATTTTCCACTATAAAACAGGGCTCCCAATGCCATGTACATTTGCTAATCTTCACTCAGGCTAGCTTACCCTTGTTGATGCCTGCCTCTGTCAGAAAACTTCTGCCAAAGCACCATAATTTCTCAAGAGTAAGCTTAAAGAAACACCTCATTAAAAAACACCCACGTTAAAAAAACAAAGCTAAACTTCATAATTATTTCACTGAAAAGTTCCAATACCTATATGTTTGAACATTGAATGCAGATTTGGCAATAATTCAGAATGTGAGAGGACTAAAAACAACCAGAAAAATGAAACAGGTTTCAGAAATATATCACAAGTGTTATATGAATGTCACTATAACTACTCCATAAAATTCAATGCAAGAAAGCTTCATTCTTTGCAGGCAGGCATCAATAAGGAAAAAAAAAAAGTTTATTAAGGCAAGGCACTGGGCACCTGTGTCTTTTTGACCACAGCAAGAACCCAAGACATTCTCAGCACTGCATGTACAATTCTGTATTTTGTTGCAAGTCCAGTACCTAAGGCTTAATGCATGCAAGCAGAGGATTTTTTAAAACACAGATGAAGTGTGTACTGTGTGTTGGGCCTAATCACATGCACAAAGAGCTCCCAGAGCCTTCTTTCAAAATGTTCTTTTCTTGTGAGTACACTATCTCATTCTCATTTGTTCTGTTCTTCTAATGCCATCCTGCCACCCTCCCCATTTTTCTGAATAAAACTGTGAAAGGTCATACACTTTTACAACTTGAAACTGAGTTTGACCATCAGCATCTACAAAATAAAAACAAAATGAGCATTTTACAGGTACAGCCCCAAATTATATGGACTAATTTCAATCTTACATGAAGCAAGTACTCAAACTTGTGGCCCTCACTGGTGCATGCATCGCTTGTTTTGTAACATACAGCATGATACTTATCCTCACAGCTCAACTGCAAAGCAAGCACTCCAAACTTCATCAGCCATCCTGTGTATCTTAAAAGGTCTGTGTTTTTCCCCTCCCATACAAACCTTTGTATCTTAAGCAACATGTGTGTTCACATATGAACTCAGACACTCATCTAAGTACTCCAGATAAGACTGCTAAGCAATCCAAGTATTTTTCCTGTGTTTTTCACAACAATAAAGCCTAACTATGCTGCTTTGCAAGTTAAAACTTCTATTGCTTCCCCCTACCTTAAAAGGCCCCTGAGTAGAAGGCTTATCCAGGGCTGGTACTATATCCACATATCCTCCTGCAATAGCAACTTCTCCAGTCTCTTTGACCTGTGATGGAGAAAAATATTACATTAACAAGACAACATATTCACAAGAAGTCACAAATGAAAGGCAGCTAAGGAGCATAGCCTACATTTTAAAATCAGAGATAAAGAAAAGAGAAAACATAAAAGTTCCAGAGTGAAAAACAACTACTCCATAAATGTGTCACAGTCTTGAGGCAAATTAGTATACCATATTCTGTAAACAGCTCTTCAAACAAAATAATTGCTTCTTGAGAAATTATACCAAAATATATTGCTGTTTTTCTTTTCATAAAATGGTAGAAAAAAAATCTTACTTATCTGAAAATTAACCTCTGGTGCTCTAAGTTAATGTTACTTCATAAATAGTTCTGAGAAAGACCTTCTAAAATATTTTTCCTTGAAGTAGATATGCAATTGTCAACAGCTCATCTAGACAGTTTCACTCTCTCCAGCTGCCTTACACTGCAACTTGCACTAGAAATGATTTCTGAAGCATTGTAAAACCAGAAAGATTGTAAGAAAATTATAAACACCTGAATTCCTTCTGCTTTAATTTTTTGAAATAGTTGTCAGACAAGAAATCACATTTCATTTTGCCACTGTCTCTTTAAGAGGTATGACAAACCATTCTGACTTAAGGCAGCAAACAGAAGATAATAAAATGACTCACTGACAACACAGAATTGCATGATAAGTAGCCAAAGTGGATGAACACCCAGTATCACAGCCTAGCTTATTGCACAAGTGAAATCAACACCAAAAGGCCTCATAATAATGATTATTCAAATCACGCGTAACAGCTTTGTCACCTGCTCCACTGCAGTTCAGGCAATGCTGAAAATGGCTTTGAATCAGTATATCAAAGTTAAATGTCTATTCTTAGTTTGATTTAACCAGAGTTTATTAGAAGTACAAGGATAGCTTTATTTCAGACTAATCCAACAAGCAGTAAGAGACAGAATTCTGCACAATTAATAACTGTTGGAACAAGGTGGCTTTCTATAATCCTGTTAAACACTGTCATTTCTCTCCAAAATAAGTTACTCCACATTTGTGGGAAAAATAAACTGCAGCAAAATCCCCCAAAACTCTACCTATTAGTAATTAGTCATGACTAAAACAAGCATAATAACAAATCTAGCCTTTAAACAACAAAACATCCCACTCGTTTACAAATTCCAAAGGGCTTGGAAGCATATAATGAATTCTAGAGCTGTTATCTGTTTCACAGAGCTGTATTCCTGCAGAAGCAATAATCTTGTGTCCTTGTGATGACTTTCATTTGATTTTGCCTGCCCAGTCCTCCCTGAAGCTGCAATTATCTCTGCTGCTGCAGTCACTAGGAAACAGTAGGCTACATTTTTACAGTGGTAGGGTTGGAAAACTTTGGCCAGCCAAAGCAATGTAAATTGCATCTGCATAAACCAATACATTTTGACAAATACTAGTAGCAAATAATAGCTGAAGAATGTGGAAGTGTCATAGGATGCCATAACAGAAGCAATGAGAATTTACTCTTTGCCTCTAGAGTACTTCAGCCACGGCTTCCAGTTATGTAACCTACCACATGTAGGAGAGGATCACAGAATACACATGCAAATAGGATATACCCACACCCAGCAAAGCCAAAGAAAACAGAATAACGCAAAACCTGAATTTATAAAGTGTAAACTCTGATTTATTATAGTTACTATGTCTAACTGGTATGAAACTTCCATTTTTAAGTAAGTTTGTTCTGTATAGATGCACCTTAAGTTTAGCCCAAAGCTAATTGTGTAGAATTTTACCTGCATAAAAGAACTGTCAGGAGTTGATTTTAAATAAACAAGTGTTAGAAAAAGATGCATACACAAGGTTATGATTAAATAGAGAAAACAACTACAAACTATGCTGTCCTGAGAATGACTGCTTTTTGCTCTTCCACAGTGGACAACCACAGGAAATGCAACACAAACACATGAGTTCTCATATTATTTAATGTGAGGAGTGTATTGAGTCCTATTACTATAATGGTATCTTTACTGAAATCTTAGTGATCCCATGAAAAAAGTCTTTAATTCTATTAGTGTGCTTCTTTAAAAAACCTTCTTCAACTGTATGCTTATAAGCCTCATTTTTTGCTTCTCCTCATGCGCCAAGTCTTTTAACTAACACAACTTTCTCAGAAGTTCCTAACAGTGTGTTCTGACCTTGGTCTGAAAATGGATTCTATTTCCTTCCTTCCACATTTCTGTTTGTAAAGTTTGCCCTGGAAAGACTGGTTTCACAAAGCGAGCCTAAAGAAAAAAACAAAATGTTAAGGAGTGATAATATCTGCCATACATAAATACAAAGCTTAAAACCATAGGCTCTACTGAAATTAGCAAAATCAGTCAACTAGCAATGTGGAAAGCCTAAATATTTAAAACATCCTAGACAGAAGCATTAAAACGCATGCAGCAATAATAAAAAGCAATTGTGAGAGTAAAGACAGTTTAAAGGCCTTTTCCCACACTAAAGATTTTTATTTGCACTAAACCCAGAAAAACCAAGAAAATGAACTACAAAGAATGAACACGCAAACCTTGATTGCCTTGAATCTGTTCACATCATTATTTGCAAACTGCTTCAAAACGTGTCTCGCAGCAAACCCAAAGGAACACAGTCCATGAAGTATAGGCTTCTCAAATCCTATTTCAAAGAATAGTATGTTAGTGTTTGTAATATTAGGAGTTTACATGCTGCTTCCACAAATATCTGTATTTTAGTCATAGTATTTTTTTTCCAGTAATGATCTTAATCCTTTTTCTTTTTAACCTAATCTGTCTCACTGAAAAAGCAACTGTTATAATTTATTGTTTCCTCTACATTGAGACAAAGATGTGCTCACTGAGAACTGGCACTTCAGTCCTGCCTGGGCTATGCACACTGACAAGCAGAATTAAAAAATAAGGAGATGGGCTGTTTCAGTACTTGTGCACAGCCACACCAGACACACAGTCACAGGGAAGTATACCTATCAAGGGTAAGAGGTAATGTAATGATTAAAAAGCAGTGGTACTAAGAATACTTCATTCTTCCTGGTTTTAATTCCTATTCACAGTTTCAAAAAGTCTTCAAATATAGTGCATGCTTCTGCATTAACTTTTTTTTTTGTTTAGAAGTGGAAAAAAAAAATTATATTTCAATCATTTTGAATGCATCCAACAAAAAAGACGAAAAAAAATAATACAGTGTCTTCTTTATATTGATGCTTTTGGTCAGGATTCTTCACACTCCTAACGCTTTGGAGCAGAAGCTGAACCTTGGCAGAGGATACAGTCTTTGTACCAGTGCTGTATTTTAATCTAGCCCCGACAAAGTCTGACAAAATAAACCTCTGAGCACTGGCCTGAGACTTCTTGAAGTACAATGGTTAAGTTTTAAAGGTGCTGCTTGTACTATGTTCTAACCCCTTAACAGGTTGCTGTGACCTGACAGGGCATGTGAACAATAATTAATCACACTGGCAACAGCCCACGGATTTGAGACAGGTCTGTCTAGCTTTGGCTCTCAAACCAGCTGCTTTTGCCTGGAACTTATCTGCCACTCTCAGGGGCCAGTCTGTTCTTCCTGAGCTCCAAACAATTCTTCATATCACCTCCATAGCATGCAAAGTTGCCCAAAGTAGTCCCCAAGAGACAATAGCTGGGAGAAAAAAGCAAAAGCAAAAAAGAACCAAACAAAAAAAGAGGAGGAAGAAGAAAGTCCAGGCTGCACAGAATCGGAAGATGTAGAAGAAACCACCTTCAAGACAGATAAAAAAAGCCACTAGGACTCAGTGCTGGGAACGATGGGAATTCTAAGACATGGCTCAAAGACAAGACAAAAGGAGGAGGAGTAAGAATGAGAAACAGAAATTTTGACTCATTAGATTAGGAGAAGAGAAGGCCAGGCTAAAAGGTGTGTGTGAATCTGTTTTCTTGCTACAAGTATTCCACTCTGATCATTCTGTAATTTCTTTCCTGTAAAATATTTGAATATGCACACTTCTAAGACAACTTTCTTTTTTTGCACACTATGCACAGAATATTTCTGAAAGCAAAAATATACTGTGCAGTCTATTTTAAAACAGATTACTGGCATTATTGTAACAACACCAGTATTCAGTATCTCATACAGAATCTCATGGTGACATTTAGCTCTTTAAAAGCTTAGTCAATTCACCATGTAAGAACCAAACCCCATTATTTTCCAATATTTTCAAATACATACAGTTCTACTCTCCTTGGTATTTTTGTTATACAGTGAATGCATACTCAAAAGTGTGTAAAGCAGTCAAGTTACTTTTTATCTAGACTAAAATGAAAACAAAAATAAATGTTGCTTTCACTTTCTAGTAAGCTACAGGAATAAAGGAATAAATATAAGCAGGTGTTTTCATATAGTGTATCTCCTCTGAAACATTACACACAGGAAAGCTTAACAACAACTCTGGAATGACCTGAGCACATAACACTGAATGCCTGCCTCCAGTGCACAGTGGTGAGAGCCAGTGAAAGAGAACATTTATAGAAATTAAAGACAAAAAGGTGTGTGAATATGCCTGAAGAAAAAAGCTCTGACATAACTAAGAAAAAGTTCTTGTAGAGTATCCTTACAGTAGTTTTCTTCTTTGTTTGAACCTACATTTATTATGGGTATTCGAGTAGAAGACTACCACTGTGCCAAAATCCAGTCCAGCAGTGTACTGTTCAGAGAGGCTGCTGCCTCATACACAGACTTGGCTTCATTTTTTCCCTGTCTCTAAGTGCCAGTGCTTTTTGTGTGAGCAGGCACAAGATTTCTACTTTTCTTGGTCTGTAGGGTTTTTTATAAGATCATCATTATTATTTTAAACACTGGGGTTGCAATTATAAACATATTTTTCTCCTCCAGCATCTTCAAGAGTAATCGTGTAATTTCATCTACATATTCATCCAAAATCATCAGCTGAACAAAGAAACAGCATGGTTTAATAAACCAGGGAAATCTCATTATGGACTCTGGTATTTGATTATCATTATTTATTAACAAAAATTTACATAGAATTATACGAAGGAGTTAACCTAACAGTATTTATAGAAAAAGACCATTTGTAGATATAGAGTGATCTGAACAAGGAAACATAGCTCTGCCTTTTTTATCTTGGTAAAAAAAAAAACACATACAATGGTATTCCTGCATTAAAAAGAAACCACTGGATAACTGCAGAACAACTACTACAGAGCAGAGTTTTCATGTAAAGTTTGTGATGATAGCATATATGTTCAGGAAAATTAATTAAGTAAATCAAATTGCTATCTGCCTGGAGTTGTCATACTATACTACTATCAAGGCTTGAAAAGAACTCCAAAAGCAATTTTACAGGAAAGAGGTGCTAACAAAATCACTCTTTCACTCCTCTCCTGAGATTTACTGGGATTGGGAAGACGACACAGAAGCACAAAAAATTCCACTGAGACCAATATCATCTCAAAATTATTTAGATGGGAAGAATATCTATCAAAGAATTTACAGAGTAGCTTCTGAACCTTTCAATAGTGAATTATTTCTGCTTATGAAAACCAAGATTGTAAAGATGGGACAGTAGCAGCAAATAAGCTCTAAAAGAAAACAGGGTACGAGGCAAGTTTCCATTGTAGGCAGAGTTCAAGCATCATTCCACATTCCTAGGTACAATAAACAAGGCTTTAAAGTGAAGCCTCACACAGAACTTTAAAGACAGCTAATGGTGACTCTAAGAACAGATACAAAAAAAAGCACTGTTTTTTCCACCTCGTTGAAGATGTATAGACTAAATGAAGATTAAATATACATTTACATCATCCTTTGTCCAAATATTAATACAATGGTATCCCTCGACTCACCTCCAAGAGCAGCAAAACTTGGATCTACATGTAAAGGATTGAAATCCCCACTCAGCCGATATAAGGCAGCCTGCAGAGACAGAGAGGAAAACGGGAGGCTAGCTGTGCTGAGCAAAAACAAGCCAGACTCACTCAAAAATTTATGACTGATTAGCAAGCTTGTCACAATCTATTCCACTAGTCCTCAGATAACATGCTCTACAAAACAGCAAATAAAATGGAAATCAATTATTATTGTGGAAACAAACTGCCAAAGCTCCAGGGAAATGTACCAAGAACTTCGCATGGTCATGGCACAAAGAAATTAATGCAACTACTTAATGGGAGATAAAATCCAGCCTACCATGCTGACATACAGATCCAGCTTCACTAAAATCTGGCAACAGTGAAGTAACACATTTCCTAGAATTCATCCACAGGTTCTTTAGCTTAAAATGTAATCTAAAGCGTCTTCTCCCATGATGTATTTGTCCATAATTTAAAAGAAAATTACGTACAAAACCTGCTTTTTTCTTCTTAAACATACCATGTTTTTTCAATATCTGATTCATCTTACAAACATCAGAAATATCTTTATACTTTCCTTTTAACAGCAGCAGGATTGACTAACTGTGATACACTCCTCTCTTAGCAGCTTCATGGGTAGCTGGTCACAACAGTAAAAACAAACACCATGTCAAGCTTTCTAGATTTTTTGCTTCATGTCAAATATTCTCTTTCACTGGTAGAAGGCAGAGAAATACTGATTTAGCATATTGTATAAACTAGGAATGTAAATAAACCTGAGAAATTATGAAGAAGATAGCTACTATGCTTCAGTTTTCTATCTCTTTGTGGTCTTAGCGTTTTCACTATCAGATTTTATATTTGCTGTATGTGTACAGTGGCTAGGAGTCCATAATACAAGAAGAGAGGACAAGCTAACCTGTGCATCTTTCTGGGACAAAAACTCACTCCCTGGTCATACGAGTGACTAATGACTGCAGAGTGCAGTACAGTACAACATTCCCAAAGGTACAGAGAAAATCATCACATCATGTAAACTAATGCTAGTGAAGACTTTAAGAAGCAGAGTAGGTTTATACGATAGAAGATAGAAGTCAAACATGAACTTAACTGAAAAAAAGCTTTTAAACTGAAAACGAATTTTATTTTAATCAAGTACATTATTTTCTCTGGTACCCCTTATCACTAAACATTTTTTCCCAGCATTTTGGACTGGGATCATAAAAAACGCTATCTGTTTATCCAAGTGAGGGTAAACTGCATTAAATTCTGCTCAGAGGAAAATAGCTACAGATTTCTCAAAGGGAAGGGGAAAAAAAACCACTTGGTATTCACCAAAGGGGATAATTTCTATGTTTAGATACAGAAACTGTCTCTGACAGTTTCTTCCACCAAATCCGATTCAAAAGACAGCGTAATTAAAGAGGTTCTGAACTCACATATAATTTTAATGCGTAATCCATTTTCTTTACTTTTAATCTGTTAATATTCACATCTATTTCTTCAAGTATATACAGCTTTCACACTAAGCTCCAAGTCTCTCTTACTTGTCCTACTAGCCTTCATTAACACAGCAAGTGTTTTACGCCTCAGTTACAGTGGAACGCAGAAGAGCTTGTCACTGCTTTTGTGTGAGAGCTGGATGCATGCACTAAACATGGCAAGAAAGAAATCCTAAGCTGCACCATAGCTTAAACACACAATATCAGAAAGGCAAGCGAATAATTCTCTGTGGCTGCTTACGTTGTTGTTTGCTCTTTGAAACACTTTTTCTTTTGAAAACAAAGATGTAGCAGTAAGATGGCATCACTGGACCTGAAATTTTTAACTTTCAAGAGTCTAAAATATAACAGCGAATCACCACCCGTAAGAACTAGAAAATAAAAACTGCCATGTGTGAAATAAATAATCAAATTACTTTTAAACTAAATTATAATTCACAGGTCTCACTTTCACTCGTCCATTAACTTAAACTAATTTCACAAAGGACCTATTGGGTAAGATTTTTATTCAAACTAAATAACATTGAGTCGTAGTACTGGAAAATTCTATTTATGTGTCATAAAAAAGGACAAGTTTCTGTTTTAAACTCAAATCTCAAATCTAGCTATGCAGCTATTGCTTACTAAAGCTGTAAGAAGAACTAGCCCTTTACTGGGAGTCACAATAAGCACTTGTTGGGAGACAATAATTCTACCAAATGTTTTTCAAAATTACTGCAGTAAAATTAGTTGTGGTTTGCTAACAAAATAAACGTAGCATTTGGGTAATAATAATAATTAGGTTCAGAGAATTAAATTCAACGTGTGTTCAATGTATTTAACTGAAAGTCTGATGCATGAATATAGGAGATAATACTTGTCCTCTTGTACTTTCAACAATGAGTGGTACTGGTCACAGCTAGAAAACAGACAGGCTGAACTGAATAAAAGAGGTACACAGCAGGTTCTTCTAGATTCAGTGCATCCAGGTCAGGTCCACCAACAAACTTCATTTCATTTAACAGAGTCTTTGGTATTACTTCTTTATGTAACTTACATTCCTCATGAGAACAGAATTGTTTTAAAGCCTTGTTTGTTCTACTTTCTGTATTTCTCAAATAATGACATTTCCTGAAGTCTCAAGCAATAGCAATAAAATTTAAAAAAAGATGCATCCTTGAAGGATGACAAGAGTCAATTGATGTGGGGCATTAGACTGAAGTCAGTCATAATATGGTTAGATTGTTCTCCAATTAATAACTAAAATTATCAAGTCTAATTTCTTAATGATTTAGGAGTTCTGCCATACCACAAATTAAAAGTGATATCCAACCTGTGACAATTTTTCAGCCTTGCCTGCAGACTGCAGCAAAGGTCACTCATAAAGCTAGCAAAAAAGAAGGCCAAAAACTGGGCAGAGAAAGGGCTCTGCCCAAGAGCTTATCTTAGCAAGTATATGTGTATATATGCACATACATATGTGTCTGTACATGTACGTACATATACTTTGCCCAACAGCTTATTTAATTACACAAGCAGTCAAGCTCTCTCATGAAGAAAAAAGAGCCACAAATCTCATTTACACATTTCAATGAGCTCTCATTTACATTAACAACACTGAATGTTTCCAGTTAAAGTGGCAATGCTGGTGCTTCTAGAGCTCAATTTAGCATAGGACTCAGGTAATTCAACTGTAGTTAAAATCAAGCAGCTACGCTTCTGACTATCTGAGATTCCCATTTGCTGTGTCTTCTTTTTAAATTGATTTCCTCTGTAGGGGTAAGGAGAGATACTATGAAGGAGCAATTGGTAGAAATCAACACAGAGAAAAACAAAAGGTTTTATTTGTTCCTCCAGATAACCAGCTATTTTTTCCAAAGTAGGTGTATAGGGAAAATAAACAAAATAGTTTAAATTGGTCATAATAGTTTCCAATGCCTAAATACTTTGTGGAAATCTGGTTTACACATGATTCTATTTTCTAACAAGACTGTAATTAAGAAATACAAGTGTATAGTTTCCTGGAATACCTTAGGTTTGCAATTTTATGTTATTAGTGGTCTGGACCATCCAAATACTACCTTACTCCCTACATACCTTTGATTCCCACAAAAATATGAATTACTAAAATGTTCAGTTAAAACACCTTCAACATACACAGCTACAGACATAAATAGGAATAATAAGTATAAAATGGGGCTACATCATTTCTCCTTCCTCACCCCACATTATTCATGTCTTTACTGTTTATGCCCACCATACATTTTTCAAATTCAACTTACATGTTCTGCCACAGGATTCACAGAACATTAGCCACTTTTCAGTAGTGTGGCAAACGCACAAGAACCATTTCCTTTACCAAATGGCTCCCTTAATAAAAAACAACAGGAGGCAGAAGGCAACCTGCACAATATCAGAATGCTGTCAGTGTTTCCACAAACAAACAACAAACTAAAAAACCCTGCAGAAAGACCCCAACCAACTCAAGACTCTGTACTTGTTTCCTTCCTCAAAAATAACCCACATCACTCAGACATCATCCACTTCAAATACCCACTGTGGCTGATTTCCTGTGTCATCAGAAAATAAATTCAGAGGAAATCAACACATCTGGGAAGAGAGTAAAAACCCTCCAGAAATACAGGTCATTTACTGCTTTGTGATACTGAATTGCATGAGGAGCCATTCAGCAAAATCTGTTTGAATAAGGCCCTGGGTCAAAAGCCAGCAGGACAAGAATAGCTTGGTGATACTGAAGCTCTGTTAATTACATTAAACATTCCCTAAAGTGTTGAAATTGAATAATTCATTCCTTGCTAAATGCCTAACAGTCACTCTCTAGACTTCTGTATCTTCTGTCAGGAGGTCTATTTTACATGAAAGATTTATGGCACCATACCTAGTAAAGCATAGCTCAGGTTACTAAGAAAGAACAAGCCAGAAAAATATCACAACACATATACATGGGCAAGACAGAAAAAATGTCACCTAACTCTTTGCAGAAAAATTAATGAACTCACAGAAGAAATATTTCATGTCCTTTAGCAGGATTCAAAATTTAAGCCTTAGAGCCTTTTAGAAGATCACATACTTCTAAATTTTTCGTAAGCATTTTTCACTCTTAAGGAGCTTACACCACAGTACCCCAACTTATTCATAAGCACTGATTGGTGTTTAAATGGGTACAGCTTAGAAAGGGATGAACATTTATTATACTACCTGCTATTAGTCTTTGCTACCACTAAGTGAAAGGATTATTTTTTTTTCTGTCAATGGGCACTGACATAATATAATTGTTTTCCAAGGGGCTGTAGGTGGCCGTACCCTCCATTCTGTCAAACACATGGTTGAGGGCAAAAATTATTCTTAGCCCTTTGTTCCCAGTATCTTCTTCACTAAACAGTGCTTCTTCCTGTCTAAAAATATGTCTGAAGAAACCTTCTTCCTTTTGAAAAAAAATTAACCCAGTGTAGCCAAGTTAGAAAGAATGTAATTTTCAATATAACCACAGCCACTGACTTCAGCAAAAGACAGGAATCATCACTAAACATTTTTAAAATACGCATGGTGGTCGACTTATCAGGATATACACTACATGATCATGCTATGAAAAGTAAAGGTAGGGGAAAAAATACTAATTATGAAGAGCAGTTTAACCATGTAACTCTAGTAGCACAAAAACTGAAAGGTGAATGTCACAGCTATCATTGGAAATTAATACAGTTAAAGGTTAACTCAAATGCCACCTGCAAACTGACTCTTTCGGTTTGTCTCACACTCTATACTAATTCAACACCTGAATAGCAACAGTTATTTCTGCCAACACCAATGTTAAGAAAAAAAAAATAATCAGAAAGCTAGGCACAATTTGTGTGCCAGCTTCCATTTTCAAAAAGGATTTTAGGCAGCTATGTGTCATTCCACAGACATATAAATATAGAAGCTTGGTAACATTTCTCCAAGCTGACCTTCACATGAAAGTCTGCATTCCTACCCATAAAGTTCATAAACTCTAGACATTCCCACTCCTGTACACAGGCATCATCACCTAAGCCCAGATGCTACTGAATAATTTGGCAGACAGGCCTTCTAGCGATTCACAAGTCCACTGGCTGTGGCTCCTGCAAGACCTCATTGCAAAGGAATTACCTTCCTATATCTACCTGTCTGAGTAGGTCTTAAAGTAAAACAAATGTGTTAGCTACTCTGTGCCACTTCCTCTATTTCCAAAACCCAGTTTTGCAGTAGCAAAGCTTCCCAGTTTCACCATTATAGCTTCACTACCATCTTCTTTTATCTCATGAACTTATCATTTTATATGTAGTAACAATTCCCAGCATAAGAGTTAAAGGTTTAGAAATTAAAGTTACTGCATGAAGAAAGTGATCATAAATGTCATCTGGAAATTGATGTGACCTCGAATCAATTCTGAAACATTAATCAAAAGAAGAACCTGAACAAGGGTTTCAACATTCAAAGTAAATAGTTTTAACTAGTGGGCCATTAGGGTTGCTATATCTTACTAAGTGCCAGCTGCTAGAGAGCACAGTCCACCACATTTCACCACCTTCCAGGAACAAAGTACTCTCTCACTGTTCCCTGCTCCTCGTTCACCTTGCCAACTTTCAGTGAAGCCTGTTCAGAAGAGTCAAACATCTGTAACTCCCTGTCCAACACTGTGAATTTTAAGATTTAGCAAGTACATCAGTAACAGAAGAGAAATGCTGATCTGAGCTCTCTTTCCTGGTTTAAGTGAGAAGGGATAACTTGAACTTCAAGCACATGAATCAGCTGGATAATTAATTATTCCACATATAATCAGAGGCTAAGCAGATATAACAGCTACCACAGCCTCCTGCTATGACTACGCTGCTTTCAAAAATACTATTCAGTGTCTGAAGTGCTGGGGTTAAACCCTCAGCCCTGAATGAGGGCTGGCATATGGATGATGTTCACAATCACGCAGGAAAGCCCCTCCTGACTAGTTTTCACCCACAGTCTGGCCAGCCTAGGGTGGGAACTGATGAGGAGACCACCACCAGGTGCCCCTGCCTTCCACATTAACTTGGAGCTGGGGTAAGAAGCCATCTCTGCAAGAGCTGTGTCTGCCTGCAGTGGGGTTGGGAGGCCTGTCTATGCAGGGCCTGTGCTGTGTGGGGATTCTGGCTATCAGAAAGGCTCCCTGACTCTTCACAGCAAGGGGAGTTCCCAGGATGGCAGGCCCAGAACATGAAGCTGTCTCTGAGTCCCTACGATATAACTGGGCTCATGGGCTGGCTGCTGCCACTGCCCATGGCTCGGCTCCTTGCACAGCTTGCTGCCATCTTCACATTCACTGTGGCGGGTGAGTGCACTGACTTGTTCCTCCCTCTGTTGCCAGGCACTCTGTATCCCCAGTGTGTGATTGGGAGTGGGGGGAGGAGTCTGGTTGCCAGTCTGCCTGTTAGTGATAATATCATTCTGTACCGGGCAAGAGGTCTGGAGAACAGTGTCTTAATACTGGTAGCTCCAGACTCTACCATCTTAAATTTGTCTGATGTGCACGCATTTACCTTCGGGGGAAGATTATTTATTTCCTTGTGTTTTTACCTAAGGAATGTAGATGCCTGTGAACCAGTGAAGACTGTGAACAGATAGAAGCACAGCTGGACAGACACCTGACAGTCAGGTTTCCTGGACTACTACCACTACAGAAATTCAGCTCTCTCAAAACTTTTATTTATTGGTCATGATGTGTTTGCTTGCACCATTTGTTGTAAATTTCATAGACTTTAAACCTCTTTTTTACAAGGGAATTTTGTAATGAAAGATTATAAAACTGTATCAGCCTTATGAAAAGAATGTTTTAGACAGTACTCTGAACACACTGTCATAACTTACCCTAGGACAAATTTTAGCTTCATATTATACACAGATATATACACAGACACACACATATACACGTATACACACACAACAGACATACATAAATACCTGAGGTGTATTAGAAAATTTGAACTATTAGTGAAATCAAGTAAGACTCCTTCCTCCAAACAAACATTTCTACATCTTATTTTACCTGATCAGTTGTTGTGACATCAGAAATTACAGCATCTGGGGGTCTCTTAGGTGGATTTGCTGTTGCCTAAAACAGAAGTAGCAGTATTAGTATTTCACTGCAAAAATATTTTGTCTGTACTCATGCCAGAATATGTCCAGTATGTACAAAAAGAAATAGCACTTCCAAAGCTGTTAAGTTTCCTCTTACCCCTTCTGCATTTACACACAAACAGAAAAAAAATATTTAGGCCATAAAAAAATCTCTTAGCCAGATAGGATGGCTACATTTGTAAAGCCTGAGACATCAGATCTGGCTAGCAGTTACATTTTATAGCTGATCAGTTTGATTAAATTTCTTCCGAACTATAAAAAAACCCTCAAGCATGAATTATTCACTCAGAAAAAACAGTTGTCTCAGAGAACAGTAGTGTTTTGGAACACAAAAATGAAAATTAAGCTTCTGAAATGAGACTTTAAAAAGTGCAATGGAGTAAATAATTGTTTACTACCTCAGCCATGGACAACATCACTTTCAGACTTTTCCAGCGCTTTTTTTTTTTTTTTTTTTCAATTATCTGCCGCATATTAAGCCCCACATTTTTGTAAAAAATCTGTTCCTTGTGCAACATATAGCTTCAGATGCAAACTTTACCAACAGACTGATAAGAGAACATCCTAGATCATGATAAACACAAGACCACAACCAATTCAAAACTACTAAAGTAGCTGAAATATTTTTCCTCCTCTCCTTTTTGGGTTTTCAAGACACAAACAAAAAAAGGCCAAACAAAGAGAAACTGGTGTAAGCTCTGAAATGAAAGGAAGCCACTTGACTTTCACACATAGTAATTCTACTTAATCTTAGTTTGAATATTGCCAAAGAAAAGAGAAATCAAAAGAAACAGAGCACTGTGTAGTTTCACATCTAATAACAAAGTCTCTTCCCTGTTCATTAACAGCAGAGCAAAGCCTTCTCTTGGGTGGAAGACCTGACATCACTCCTGCTTTTGCCACTTCAGAGAACCACAACAGACTTGCATCTCAGTCAGCTTTATGACAAGGACACTACCTAACCAGCTTTCAAATCAAGAATGGCTTTTCCATCTATGCCCAATTAGTTTAAAGAAACTCAACCTGACTACTGAGCCATTAAGATGTTACAACTAGCCAACACCTGAACAACTAAAGAAAGCCCTCTGCCACTAGGGGAAACAAAGCAAGAGGAGAGACATGCTCATCTCAATGTAGAAGTTTGATCTTCTTAGCTTGCAGATACAATACATGTGTAAGTCACAAAAAGACACATTGTAAAACATGCCTGATTAGCTTGGGATGTCTTTGGCACAGACAAATATTCAAGTCTTTTTAATGGGGAAGGTTTGCGAAGATAAAGCAAGAAAATACATGATTTGAAACTGGCCTCTTGCTTGCAGAGGCCCCTGCTGAATTTGCTACCACTATCTTATCTTAACTAGACTACGTTTTGTTTTCTTCTAACACAAGAAAGACTGCTGTTTGAAATGGGTATTCTCTGTATTTTAGAAAGTAAAATCATTTATATAACAGTTTCATAATTTGCTAAATTGAGTGAAGAAGTTTCAGTTGTCTGAAGTGCAATGTTTAGCTGAAGTGCAAAGGCACTACACAAGGCTCACTGATGCCACCACTGTAGATTACCAACATTTCCTCTGAAGCATTTTATTTTACATGCACTACTATAAAATCTGATTGCAGAAGAAATAAGATTTCCTTCAAAGACCTTTATACACTGTCTGAAATAATAATATTCTGTGAATTTTCTATGCTACACAGAGGCTTTTCCCATTTCTCTTTGAAGCAGCAGGCATTTCAAAATTTGATTTGTAAAGTTACATATGGGAAAACTTCTATATAATTGATACAGATTTAAGTAAAAATAACTTGTAAGTTTACACCCAAAAACCCCAAAGAATGTTGCCTATAGTATTACAGTTGTACAAAACCTAGGTATTTCCTTATATATTTTAAAAAACACTGAGCTTAGGATAGCCTCTATTAAAGTGACTTTTTATTACTGTAGTGCCTCAAGGCTCTGGTTCACAATAACGACATCTGGTCACAGCTGGCACTACCTTTAAACACAGTATTGAAGGAGATAATAGTTACATGTCAGGTACCCAAACAGCTGCTTTATGTATTTGGACATACACACTATGTGTTCATGTGACATTCATTGTTTGTCAGTTGCGAACTCTCCCCCAAAATTCAGCAGTCCTACTCCACCACAAACAGGAACTATATTTAGGCTTTCCAAACATCTTTCACACGAACACACAGATTTGTAAAAAGAGCTACACCTAGAGACGTCCTCTAGAAATTGCAAGTTCAAACCTAACACACGTTTGAGTACTTCTCAGCTTTTACTAAGTTTGTCTCTCTACTAGAGAACACCTTGCAGTACTACCATGATCATACCTATCGGCACAAACTTCATACATGAAAAAATCAACACTCTCTGCATACGTACACATTAAATTATCACTAAGTATCAATTCATTTTTAAATCTGAATATCCCTTAAACAACCCATTAACCAGAAGCAAAGAAAATCTCTGAGGTGGAGCTGCAGAACACACTGTGATCATAAACGACATACAGATGACATATTCCCAACTGATGATTTAAGCACAGAAGCAGAAATTGAAACGCGATCATGACAGCAGACCAGAGACAGGTTTAAATCAGGGCTTGGAATGTAGCTGGCAGAATCCAACACTTCAGTAGTAGGCCCCTAGACAAAACAACTCAAAAATCTCAATTTCTTTGTCAGTCTTCTCGCTGCCCATGTTTAAACAAAAGCAGCCAAAATATCTGCTCTAAAAGCTACATATAAGAGTGTCAAAGCTCCCTAAATCTACTTGAGACAACCAAGACTTATAAATGAAAGCCACTTCTCTGCTGTTCTTCTAAAAGGTCTCTAGAAAGTATTTCAGATCAGAAGTAGACTGAGAAAAATAAAACCTTTCACAAGCTGGCTTTAACAAGAAATTAGTAACTTTGCTCATCTCTTCATTTATGGAGAGCATGATTGGCAGTAACTAAACAATAAAATCAAAACATGTAATAAGTTTTTTTTTTGCTTACAAAGCTTACATTTGAGTTTCATAAAAGCAAGAGTCAGTAAGACTACTGCCAAATTGGATAGCTGAACTGATAGCATCTTCTGTCTGACCTACTGAAGGAGGAGTTTAAGGAATTTAGCACAGCTCAAAGTACAACATGTAGCACATTTCACCTCTTCTGTGGAACTAACTGTGTCAAATAGGCTGTGATCTGTAGCAGCCATACTGCTGAATTCAAAAGGCACTATTCTAAAAGATCTAGTATGTGTGCTCTAAAGGAGCATTCTGTCCTCATCATTAGAATTAGAAAATAACATCTGAAGTTAAAATGGAATTGCAATTCTTATAAAATGCATAAAGTCCCCAGAATTTAAATTCTAAACATTTTTCAGAGAATCTCCTATTCTGTTTTCCATTGGGATATTTCAAATATTTGATATGGACGTAGGAAGTTCTCATCAGTTGCATGGTTAACAATTCACTTTTCTCCCTAACTGTCAAAAGAAAACTATTGGTTTTCCAGGCCCTGAATAGTACTTTTTTACTCTTCAATGAACAAAAGTATTTAAATTCCATTTGAGCCTGTATGGCCACACTGGTCAAATGCTAGTTTACCCCTCGTAGTTAATATAGCAAATATTCTTTCTTGCAGCACTGACATAAGTTTTTTTTAAAATGGATATGCATGAATTTACCTTGGCCTTTTCTGATGTTCGTTTTCCACCAAATCCTCCAGCTCCAACAAAAAATAAGGAGAACTGATTATAACTCACTAAGTCCTTTCCACAGTAGGTATTCACTGAAAGATAACAAAAGAGGAAGGTCACATGCTGCATTCAATCTCCATTTTCATATAGCTAGTATGTGCAGTTACAAGAGAAAAGCTCAGTTTCAAACATGACAGGGCTCATTTTAATAACTGATGGGGAAATGGGCACACGTCCATGTTGCACTGTTACATGTCACTCCCTGACTAGTGAAGACTCATGATCTGTTTCAAATAATACTATTATGAATTTCATGTAAATTAAAGCATTAAAATTAAAAGAGGAGCTATCAAAATGCTGATGGCATTCAAAGTGCTAAAAATATTTGACAATCGAGTGCTGAAGTGAGTATTTATTTCAGTACCTCGCACTGCATTAGCAATTGATTTAAATGTGATAGAATTATGCCATAAAATATGATGCATTAGAAGCTATTAAGAATCCCTAGTGTGTAAAGCATATTACCAAACCACACAAAAAAGGACCCCGCGTGAGAAGAACTCCAGAGCAAGCTTTAGTTTAAGGTCATCTGCTCCTTCTTTTGAAGAAGTTTCACTTCTTACACTGAACTGAGATTCAGCTTCCTATTTCCTGTTCATACTTATTCCACTCTCTTACACTTTAAAAGAGATTTTACATTGCCTGCAATGCTCATCTCCATTTCTGGGAGAAATGTAAAACCCACTAAGAATCTTCTGACAAAAAGAACTTTTCAGTGTTGCAGAAACAAGCAGGCTCAACCTTAGCCCAGAATGGGAAGAAAACACAGCTAGGAGGAAAAAAAGGACAGTAAAGACCTTTTTACCATTTTATGTGTAAACTGAAGGAATAAAACCTCAAGAGTGTTTAGAGATTCCCTGTCTATTAACCTACCCATGCAGCCTCATTTCCTAAGGGACCTTAGTATAACCACACCTAAAGACACCAAAATTCTGAAAACTACAACTTCTGGAGACATTCTGATTGTTTAACTTGGATACAATAGGAAGACAATGGGGCTTTGTTTTGTTTACAGTAAGAGTATTGCAGACATAAAAAAAAATAATGCAGGACATGCTCTTAAAGATGGGTGCTTTGAAGATGAGACTACACCACATACATATTGACTAACCTTTGCAAAACCACCCCACAGAACACGCTCACACATGCACATACTTGCCCTTGTTGAATGCCTGGCAGAATCTAACATGGCTGCCTTGTGATATGACTGTTATTATTAAAGAACTTTGTTCAGTTTACATAGGGCACTATGAGGAAAAAAAAACAAACCTTCTCTGAAATCTTTTTCCAAAGACACTGTTCTTTTTTTCAGTATGTTAACTGCCTTAGACCAGTTACACACTTAGACAACTACTCTTAACTAGCTCAGTTCTCATTTAAATTTGACAAGCTAACAGTCCTTATTGTGGACAGGCTGGCAGATATTGGTACAGCTAGTTAAAAAGTGAGCCTGCCAAATTTTACTGGATGCCATCCAAAAACGGTATACCTTCTTACCATCTATAAGCAAGACTGCTCCTGATCCTTTGTCAAGAATATCAGCAACAGTTGAAACTGAAGTTAATTGCCCTGTAAGAAAAAAAGAACATGTATATGTTGTAAGGTTTTGCTTCAGGAATGAAGTCCATAGATCACACTTTATGCTTCCTTACTAACAATAACAACTATAGTAATAAAAATCACAGTAATAGCCATACCAATCACAATCATCAGGATTATAATAAATGTCAGGGAATCTTTGCAAATCTTTGTTTGTAGACATGAGGAATTTTTTTATTTTTTTTTAAATAGATTCTTGCTATAGTTCATATATTCAGGGCTGAACACAAATCACATTTTGGACACAAACACACTGCTAATGTCAATGAACACTCCAATTTCTAAAGGATTGACCACAAATTTCAAGAGAGCTGCAACAACTACAGTGCTACAGAAGAAAAGCTCAACTCAAGGCCTGGACCTGTGGGTTTATGAAATTTGCCCCTTAAGAGGTTATTTCTCTACAGAGGTATGTAACCACGAATGTTTACATAATCAGTTTACATCATGGAAAACCAAAAAGCTTTATTAAGTCCTGGCAATCCATTATCACTTACTGGACTTCTTTGAAGTTAAAAACTTTCACACATCTCCTTTTTATTTCAAGAAAAAATTATGCCATTTACCTGTGGCTTTAAGATTATTTATTTTCCTTCTACACTCTGGAAAAGTTAACCTTAAAAAAATACTAATGAAGAAACCCAGACACATGCATGCATATCCTGAATGAGTCTAATGAGCACCTCTCAAGTGTTGTTATCTGGAAAAGCTTCCACCTGTGAAAAGAGCTTGCTACTGCAGTAACTACTATCTTGAGAATTTTAACAGGAAGAAAAGTAATTGGTTTTTAGTCTCCTCCCTGATATGTCTGCTACCCCTTTACATACATCATTTAAATCTGACCCTCTTACAGGCACACAGATGCAACCAATGCTCAAGAATTTTTAGGTAAGCAACCCAAAAATTCTACAATACAACCTTACAGAAAGAATTAAAAGTTCTGCTAGTTAGTATCACATCATGTGAGTTTATGTATCTGCTTATTACATCAAAGGTTAGGCATGTTTAGTAAGTACGCTATAGAAAAGCAACACCTCATCCCAAGAACACAGAGTTTCAGAATTCCTTCAATAATGCAACAGGTTGACTCTCTTCTCCCCCACCCTTTGTAGAAAGAATATGCAAAACGTCTAGTTGGAAACAGAGCTTCCCTATTTCCATTTATAATACGGCTGCAGAAACTTGCTGTCATAGTGAAAAGCAAATCAGCAACACAAAAGGACTGACCTGAGGTTGGTAAGGGTTTATACAGTTCCAGATACTGCTCACCATGCAGCATCTATGTAAAGAAAGGCAGCACTGTAACAATCAATATATTCCACTGGTACCCCACCACAATTACAAGGATACAGTTATTTTAGAAAGTGGTCAGAACACAGAAATAAAAAAAAAAAAAAAAACCAACAAATGTAAGTTTTTTGGGTTTCCAATTTCATCCTCAACAGAAAATATTTTAAAAGACAGTTTAAAACTTTCACAGTTTAACAGAAGCACAGTAAACACAAACTGAAGTTTAAAAAAAACCTGATCATTCATGCCATTTCAGGATGACACAGGTAATACAAGTGAAGTAAATTAAAAACTTCCTAGGATGTAAGAATACAAGCGACCGAATTTTCCTTTCTAGAATAAAGTAAACTTATTAATATCATAAATATAGTAATTCATGTGACCTTACAGTTATATAAAGCATGAACAAAATTAGACACTTAATTCTTCCATACCTTTGCAAGATCAATATTTAGTCCTGGAAGGGATGGAACACCATCAAACATCGAAGTCTGAGCAGGAATTACTCCAAAGCTAGGTAAACAGCAGAACTCTTCACTTCCTTCAAAGAGAAACTTTAGGTGATCTGGATCCTTAGTTGACATTCCCACACCAAGGGCATATAGAATAGGCTCTAGGTGAGTATATTTGTACACGCAGGTAGTCAGTTCCCGGCCAATAATGCTTGTCTGGAAAGTAAAAGTCAGTATAAAATAAAACTTGATAGTGGTAAATATTGCACTTGTATTCCTTCTATAATTCTCATATAAACTAAAATGTACATTTTAGTGTTTTCTTTATAGTGACCTTTGAACATAAAGTACCAATAATATACCATAAAATATTAATCTATTGGTTGCAGTACAAGGAACCCTAATGCAACGCATTGCCCTGCTGCAAGCAACTTTAAGTAGTATAACTTCACACAGCTCCATTCCCACCAATGCCTATGAATTTTTCTAACACAAATGAAATAATTAATAGAGATTAAATTAAGTTAAAGAGGAATTAAATTAAATATCAGCCACCAGCTCTCCCGTGCGAGGCTGAGAGGATGATGTGGCTTGGGTCATTGCTGGGGCAACCAAGGGAGACCTAAACAACCCTGGGGATCTGGAGTGACCAGGAGCACTGTGAACAGTGCACAGCTGTCAGACAGGGCATGATGTGGCAGTTCCTGAAGGGGGGGCCTTGCATCCTGCTGGTAGGTCCAGAGCCCAGTGGAGTGCTCTAGGTTTCTGCCAAAATGGTGGGCACTCGCCTCAGAGCTAAAACCAGTGTTCCTATGAAGAAAGCTCCTGAGAAGTCTGATGCATCCACCTAGATGGAACTGGTAAAGAAGGAAATTTCAGTACAGGCAGTAGGTTGCAGCAAGAGCCCAGACCCTTCACCTGGTGAAAAAGTCAGTACCTCCAAAAGTTGTGCACAGGTTAAGTATCTTCTGTGTCAGGTGGCTGAGGTGCAAGAAACAGTCACAATGCTACACAGCATTAGCTAGCCAAGATGGAGATAGAGAGGTGGTTTCAAAACCATGTTCCTGTAGCAGACACCACTTAGAAAAGAGGCACTTTGGACCCTGGTGACCCAAAAAGCAGGACTCTGCTTCCTCCTCCACCCTCTAACATCACTACCAAAAACAGATATGAAGCTTTAACACCTGTAGACACCCATGAGCAAACTGTACATGGTGAAACTTCACCAGCAGCACGTGGTGGATACTCTAAGAAGAAATTACAGGTGCTCATAGTAGTAGGTGACTCATTTAAAGGCAGAGGCACGCGTCTGGTCGCCTGACAGGGAGTCATGAGAGGGACACGGCCTTCAAGGAGCTAAGATCTGAGACACTGCTGACAGAGTGCCTTAATTAGTGATGAGCACTGACTACTATGCACTGTTACTGCTTCTTGTTGGCAAAAATGATACAGTGATCTAGAACCTGGGCAGAATGAATGAACACTATAAAATGAGGTTCCAGGAGGTTCCTGCAGAGCACTGATGATACTTTTTGGGACAGGTGGTGGAAGAGTCATCAAGGAGAGGTGTGCTGCTGGACCTGGTACTAACTAACAAAGAAGGTCTGGTTGGGGACCACTGAGATGGTGGAGTTCAGAATCGTGCAAGGAAGAAGCAGAGCAGTAAGTGGATTGCATCCCTGGAGAGCTAGCTTTTGGCTCTTCACAGACCTACTTGGAGGAAACCCAGGGGTCACAGCTCTAGAAGGGGGCCCAAGACAGCTGGTTAACGTTCAAGCGCCATTTCCTCCAAGCTCAAGATTGGTGCATCCCTATGAGTAAGAAATAAAGCAAAGGAGGCAGGAGAGCAGCCTGGATGAGCAAGGAGCTTCTGGAAAACCTCAAACGGAAGAATGAAGTTTCCACAGAATGTGGAACAAGGGACTGGCCACTTGGGAGCAATGTGGGGACGTTGCCAGAACGTATAAGAGTGCAGCAAGGAAGGTGGCTAAGGCCCTCTTGGAATTAAATCTGGCAAGTGATGTGAAAGACAACAAAAAAGGCTTCTTCAGGTGCATCAGTAGGAGAAGGAAGACTTGGGAAAATGTGGGCCTGCTGCTGAATGAGATGGGAGCCCTGGTGACACAGGATACAGAGGAGATGGAGTTACTGAATGCTGCCTTTGCTTCAGTCTTTACTGTAAGACTGGCCCTCAGGAATGTGGAGCTTAGAGAGAGAGTCTGGAGGAAGGAAGACTCCCTTGGTTGAGGAGGATTTGGTGAGACTTCACTTAGGAAACCTGGACAATCACAAATCCATGGACCTGATGGGATGTGCCCACGAGTGCTGAGGGAACTGGCAGATGTTATTGCTAAGCCACACACCATCATCTTTGAAAGGTCATGGAGAACAGGAGAGGTGTCTGAGGACTGGTGGAAGGCAAATGTCACTCGAGTCTTCAAAAAGGGCAAGAAAAAGGACACAGGAAATTACAGGCCAGTCAGCCTCACCTCCATCCCTGGAAAGGTGATGGAACAGCTCATTCTGGAGGTCATGTCTAAGCATGTAGAGGAAAAGGTTATCAGGAGTAGTCAGCAGGGATTCACCAAGGGAAAATCATGCTTGACCAATCTGCTAGTCTTCCATGATGGCATGACTAGCTTGGCAGATGAGGGGAGAGCAGTGGATGTTGTTCACCTCCACTTCAGCAAAGCTTTTGACACCGTCTCCCATAGCATCCTCACAGGGAAGCTCAGGAAGTGTGAATGAGTGGACAGTGAGGTAGATTGAGAACTGGTTGAATAACAGAGCTCAGAGGGTGGTCATCAGCTGTGCAGATCAGGCTTGTAGCCAGTGGTGTTCCCCAGGGGTCAGAACTGAGTCCAGTCTTGTTCAACATACTCATCAGTGACCAGGATGAAGGGACAGAGTGTACCCTCAGCCAGACTGTTGATGATACAAAACTAGGAGGAGTAGCTGACACACCAGAAGGTTGTGCTGACGCTCAGTGAGACCTGGACAGACCAGAGAACTGCGCACAGGGGAACCTGATGAACTTCAGCAAGGGTAAGTGTAGAGTCTTGTACCAGGGGAGGAATACCCCTATGCACCAATACAGGTTAGGGGTTGACCTGCTGGAAAGCAGCTCTGTGGAGAAAGACCTGGGAGTCCTGGGAAGACAATACTGTCCACGACTTACTGTTCATGGACAATAAATTAACCATGATCAACCAGTGTAGTCTTGTAGCCAAGGTCAGTGGTGTCCTGTGGTGCATTAGGAAGAGTGTGGTCAAGGGAGGTTCTCCTCCCACTCTGCTCTGCCCTAGGGAAGCCACATTGGGAGTACTGTGCCCAGTTTTGGGCTCCCCAGTTCATGAGAGATAGGGAACTACTGTCAAGAGTCCAACAGAGGGCTACAAAGATGATTAGGGGCCTGGAGCACCTCTGTACTGAGGAAAGGCTGAGAGACTTGGGGCTGTTTAGCCTGGAGAAGAGATGACTGAGAGGGGATCTTATCAATGCTTGTAAATATCTAAAGGATGTGTGTCAAGAGGATAAGGCTGGTCTCTTTTCAGTGGTGCCCAGCAGCTAGGACAAGGGGTAATGAGTGCAAACTAGAACACAGGAAGTTACACCTAAACATAAGAAAAAACTTCTTCCCTTTAAGGGTGGCAGCACTGGAACAGATTGCCCACAGAGGTTGTGGAGTCTGCTTCTCTGGAGACTTTCAAAACCCACCTGGATGCAATCCTGTGCAACCTGCTCTAGGTGAACCTGCTTTGGCAGGGGGGTTCGGGCTACATGACCCTCAGATATCTTTTGCAAGCCTTACTGTTCTAATGAATTTGTAACGCTATACTAAGATTGAAATGAGGTAAAATTACCATGGAATCCTTTAAGTTGGAAGAGACCTTT